AAAAAAAAAAAAGTTTGGTGGTTCAAACCCCAACCACTGGCTCCTTAGAATACAAGTCTTGTTTTACTCTGCACAGATAGTATTGCCATGTCAGAATCTGCTTTGCAATAACCAACAAACAGCCTCGTTCTAAAGCATTACATGTTAGTACAGGCTTTCCCAGACATGGTCAATAAAAATAATTTATCTAACATTGTTTTAGAAGTTAAATTGCAAGTAGCCATCTGGATAATAAAATACTTTTATTGTAGTTTATTATGTTTGTTTTGATTTATCAGATTATCTATGCTGACATAAGTACGATTGGACATAAACTTCGTATTTTCAAAGTCACATTGTACTTTCCTGTCTAAAATCTCATGCCATCTTCAAAATCCATATGGCATCCTTGCTTGGCAAACACTGATACATTATAATAATTTATGTATAATAAACCAGCTTATAAAATAAACTTTTCATAAAATGCTAAGTATAACTAGTATGCAGCTATTGAGATTCTGGTAAAGTGTTCACAAATTAATATTTCTATCTTTATATTTTTAGGTTCACCCTTCATTAATGCCATTATTCACAAAGGGTTTGATGAGCGACATGCATACATAGGAGGAATGTTTGGAGCTGGGATTTATTTTGCTGAAAACTCTTCTAAAAGCAACCAGTATGTTTATGGAATTGGAGGAGGAACAGGCTGCCCCACCCACAAAGATAGGTCATGTTATGTATGTCACAGGTGAGTATCTTGCCTTTAATAAAATGGTTACCATCTTCAGGTGGTGAACCAAATTAGTTTCTTAGGATCTACAGAAGTCACAGGTTGTCTTGTCTTACTTCCTAATAAGAATGGGAAGCTAGTTCTCTGATTAGCCTCTACCGGAATAGGAACAATGATAGCAGCAATGATACCAGTGGCAAAACCCAGATACACGTCAGCCACTCATAAGTTAGAAACTCAGTCCATCTTGGCTTTCTCTTTCCTTTCTTCGGAATCAGATAAAGAAAAGATTGAGAATTATTTCTATAGAACAAAGAACCATTAGCCCTTTTTGCATTTTAACTACAGCGCAAAACTTTATAAACAAGTAAAATCTTTAATTTACTTATGTTTTGTTGTTACAGATATATTTGGTTTAAGGCAGGATATGTAATTAGCCTTGAGTGAAAAGGCCAACTTCAAAAGATCAAAATCTGGAATTAATGGCAAACAAATGAATATCAACTTTTTAAATAGGATTTTTTTAAGTCATAAGGAAATTGGAAAGAATAATAATATACTATTTCTGAAGTAGGAGCCTGGTGGTGCAGTGGTTAAAATGCTCGTCTGGGAACCAAAAGGTCGGTGATTATAACCCATCAGCCATTCGGTGGGAGAAAGATGTGGCAGTCTGCTTCCATAAAAATTTATAGCCTTGGAAACCCTGTGGGGCCATTCTACTCTGTCATAGGGTCACTATGAGTCTAAATTGACAACAGCAATGGGTTGTTGTTGGTTTTTGTTTTGTTTTGTTTTTTGGTTTATCTCTGAAGTCAGTGAAAAAATTGTTCCCTTCCTTGACAGCGGGAAAAAATTGGAAATAATTGCACTTTACAAAGATTGGGATTTATTTTACATTTCTCTTTAAATTAATGAGCTGCATTATTTTTGCAAAGTCAGGGTAATAACTTACCTTATGGTTTAGTTAAATCCTTAAAGGGAACCATATATCCACTGTACTTGTTGATCTTAAAACTTAGCTCTCTCAGTTATGTTACAAAAAAACTGTAGCTAGCAGCAGTTGTAAGATGGATGCCACATGTCCAGAAGGAAACTTCTTTCTATTTACATGTCTGTGGTTAACACAAAAATTCCCAAGAACATGTAGCATGCTAGAGTTTCTTTTTGTTGCTTCAGACCTAACTGCTAATGGAGATAAAGTCAACCTAAATGACCAATGAAAGTGAACCTAAATAAACATTATTAATCACTTAAAAATTGACACACATTTATGTTTTACCCTAAATTTCCTAGAAAACAGTCTGAAGCAAAAGCTTGACAATTGCAGTCACAAGGAAGCAGGAATGAGGCCCCAAAAACTAGTGAGGTGATAGAGGAGGCAGAGCAAATACAGTGCAGCTTTTTAATAGGCTGGCTCCAGCTTTGCAACATGTGCAATTGATTGCTCTGCCCATGAGATATGTTCAAAGAGGTTGTATGAACTACTTTCTGAACATACATCAGTGAGAGGACACAAATGAATATATCTCCTGGCTTCTGTCTTGCACTGATCAGAATTGTGCCCATAGGGGGTCAGTACTCCCACATTTTGGGGATGCTACCTCTGTAGCCACTCCTTGGAAGGAAGGTTGGGCAATCTACTTCAGTAGTGATACTGCCTCGGAAACCCAAGAAGGGGTTGCTATGAGTAAAGTCCAACTCAACAGCACATAACAACAACAACAACAGCCTCTGCAGCACAAAGCCAGCCAGTAAGCAGGCGTAAGCCAGCAGTACTCTACACCTGCCATCTGCAGCCTACAGCCTCATGGGCTGACTAGGCAGGCCCTGTGGCTTCCCCTGCCTCCACAGCAGTGAGAAGTCCTTGGAAAGGCAGCAAAAGGCAGGATGCAAAGGCCTGTTAAGACTTTGTGTGACATGATAGCTATGGCAGTGGACCCAACTGGCTAAGTGGACAGAGTCTAGTGACCCTGTAGCCCAGCCACAATATGGCAATGGAATTCAAAACCTTCCTCTGGTGCACATCAAAACCCTTCCCTCTGGTTGCTACTAGAGAGTACATTGATACCAAGACAGCATCCCAAAAAAAGTCATCAAAATATCATCAAGCTTAAAAAAAAAAAGCTTTTCCAAATACACCAGCTCATCACTTACCAACAAAGTTAGGTTCCAAAGACTAGGTTGTTATGTGAAAATTGGCATTATGTGAAAAATGGAGGATTTTGTTGTTTGTTTACTGTTTTGTTTTTTTCTGTTTTCAGACCATCCATTTGTCCAATTTTTTACTATTTTTAATTTAGAAATGATCGTAGAAGTAAAAACAACTAAGATTTACTGATGTGACAAATTGAATTATGGATTATTCCTCTGTGGAGAAGAAGGCTTGGAGGAGACGAGCTGGATAAAGTCAGGCTGTGTGATTTGAGGGCCTATGGCTTAAGCATTTCACCTTCCTTCCACGCTGAGTCAGAGCTTCCAGGCAGAGCCACCTCTAAAGCTCCACTATTGTACCTACAAGCCCTGTGTTCAAAGTCTTGGAGAATTGCTCTGCCCTTCAGGCCTGGCAAGTCACTGAGGTTCAGGGCTTCCTGCAGTGATGCTGGGAAGCTGCTCACACACCCACCCCACAGCGGTTTTGAATTGAAGGTCCTCAGGCCAAATGTTTTCTTGCTGTTAGGTGCCGTTAAGTCAGCTCTGACTCATAGTGACCCCATGTACAACAGACAACAGAACAAAACATTGCCCAGTCCTGTGCCACTCTCATACTCCTTGGTATACTTGAGCCGTCATTGCTGTCACTGTGTCAGTCTATCTTGTTGAGAGTCTTCCCGTTTTTAGCTGACCCTCTAACTTCACCAAGTATGACATCTTTCTCCAGGGACTCCCACATTTTGGGGATGCTGCCTCTGCAGCCATTCCTCGGAAGGAAGGTTGGGCAACCAGCATGATCAAAGTAGGTGAGACGGAGTCTGGCCATTCTTGCTTCCAAGGAGCATTCTGGCTGCACTTCGTCCAAGACAGATTTGTTCTCTCTTCTGGCAGGCCATCGTATTTTCAGCACTCTTCCAAACACCGTCATTCACAGGCATTAACTCTTCTTCGGTCTTCCTTATTCATTGTCCTGCTTTCACATGCACGTGAAGTGACATAGGGCCTGGGAACCCAGAACAGATGTGTGCTGGCTTGGTGCCACCTATGAATCTGCCCAAAGGCTGTGGCCACAGAGGGTGTTAGCTCTAAACCAGCAGGAGGGAGTAGAGGGTGCAGGGCACTGTGGCCTGGCTTCCAGAGGCCATCCAGAGACCCTCCTCAAGAGAGGTGATGCTTCACAGCCATTGCTGCCATGCCTGCCGTCTCATTAATGCACAAAATAGTTTGCCTGTCTTAAATATTTTTTTAAAAAAAAATTAAGAATCTCAGATTTAAAGCTTCCTTTAAAGCACTGCTTTCCATTTTCTTTAGACAAATGCTTTTCTGTAGAGTGACCCTTGGAAAATCCTTTCTGCAATTCAGCACCATGAAAATGGCTCATGCCCCTCCAGGACATCATTCAGTTATCGGTAGACCAAGTGTGAATGGGCTTGCATATGCTGAATATGTCATCTACAGAGGAGAACAGGTATGTTACTCTTCAAGTAAGCATAACCAAGTAATTAAACTTGCCCGTAGACCATAGACACCACGTAAAAGTTTTTTTTGAAGAAATATTTAATGAAATATCTACCACATAGTCTGATTGCTTAGTCACTTTGAGTAAAAATAGAGTTATGAAATGATCCTTTGACATCTACTTTGCACACAGAACCAACCCATCAATCACCTGTCAGCCTAGCAGCACGACTATGAACAAGAGGGCACCTGAGAATTAAAGGTTGCAGTATCATGCTGGTCTAGAGGACTGCTGTTCCAAATTAATACTTTGCAGTGTTTTATGACAACAGGGCAGGGGGACCTAAAAGCAGCTGCCATTTATGGATCTTCTTCACAGATGTATTTGCCACAGGCTGGTCATATACGTTAAATCACTACAACTCTGATCATGGTATTTACATAGAACTATAACTTTCTGACTCATGAAGCTTCAGTAGATTTAATACTTCCAACCACTTAAGACTCCAAAATAAAATTGTCAGCAAACTTTCTAGAGTTTTTAACTTAATCCGTAATTACCATAATACTGCTAAATGCCTATCAGTTTTTATTTAAAAAATCAGTATGTCTGAATCTAATTGAATTTCAAATTAATACCATAACCATAACACTGAAGGAAAAGGCAAAAAAGAAAAAACTAAATCCAGGTAACCTTTGAAAACAATATTTGACTCTGTGCCCTCAGTCTTGAGCAGGTTTGATTATGGAATAAGAGAAAGAATTGGAATCATATCTTGAACTCTCTTCAGTAGCTCTGCTGATTAGGGGTGGTATAGGTAAAGCAATGAAACTCTTTTAGGTGTATTATCCAACTGAACAGATGAGCAGATGTATTGATGTCAGGATTCTCAGTGTAGAAGAGCCCCGCAAATTAGGGGAAAGCAAGAATGAATCCTGGAGGGATGGACTGAAATTGGAGATGTGAATATATACTCAAAAATTTTAATATATATATGTGTAAATGTGTGTGTACACACATATATATATGTACATATGGGTACATAAATACATATGTACGCATATGTATATAAATACACCTACAGCCCACATCTTGGTCTCTAATGTTGTTTTCGTTAGTTGCCATTGAATCAGTTCTGCCTTAGCAACCTTATGCACTACAGAATGAAAGACTGCCTGGTCCTGCGCCATCCTCACAGTTGTTGCCATGCTTGAGCCCCTCATTGCAGCCACTGTATCAATCCATTCCATCAAGGGTCTTCCCCTTTGTTCTGACCCTCTACTTTGCCTAGCATATCATCCTTCTCCAGGGACTGGTCCCTTCTGATGACATGACCAAAGTATGAGAGATGAAGACTGGCCATTCTCTCTTCTGAGGAGCATTCCATCTGTTAACTCCTTCAAGACAGATTTGTTCATTCTACTAGCAGTCCATGATACATTCAGTATTTTTCACCAACACAGCATTTCAAATGCATCAATTCTTCAGAAAAGAATTGGTCTCTAATATTCTCCGCTAAAAGGAATCAAGGCTTTGTGGAGAAACAGCTAATTCCAGAGCTGGGACAAAATAGGTACAAGGTGAGCCTGGAACATCTTGTTATACCAGAAAGTAATGAAGTGCTGGAAAAAAAGTAAAGTGGGCACATCACAAGAATGTGGAGCCCACTTCAAGGGGTTCCCACTGGCCAGAACTGGGAGCATATGAAATAACAGAATAAGTACAATAATGAATTTTAAAGTATTGAAAAAAGAAGAATTTACAAGTCTGTATTGATAAAAAATAAATAAATAGGAGATAGGGCTCTTGCTTGTGGTTTAAAATCAGGAAAGGTGTGCATCAGGGTTGTATTCTTTCCTCATACTTACTTTATATGCTGAGGAAATAATCCAAGAAGCTGGATTACATATAAGGAATATGGCATCGAAATTGGAGGAAAACTCATTAATAACCTATAATATACAGATGACTCAATGTTGCTTGCCAAACTGAAGAGGACCTGAAGCACATACTGATGAAGATCATCAACTATAGCCTTCAGTATGGATTTCACACTAGCATAAAATAAACAAAAATCCTCACAACTGGACCAATAAACAGTATCATAATCAATGGAGAAAAGATTGACGTTACCAAAGATTTTATTTTTCTTATATCCACAGTCAATGTCCATGGAAGCAGCAGTCAAGAAGTCAAGCAACATATTGCACTGGGGGCCAAATCTGCTGCAGAAGACTTTAAAAAAAAAAAGAAAAAAAGTGTTAGAAAGCAGAGATGTCATATTGAGAGCTAAGGTGTACCTGACCCAAGCCTCGGTATTTGCAATCACCTCATATGCATACAAAAACTGGACAGTGGATAAAAAAGACCAAAGAAGAATAGATTAATTTGAATTCTAGTGTTGGCAAAGAATACTGTATATACCATGGACTGCCAGAAGAGGGAACAAATCTGTCTTGGAAGAAGTACAGTTAGAATGCTTCTTAGAAGCAAGCATGGTGAGACCTTGTCTTACATACTTTGGGCATATTATCAGAAGATACCAGTCCTTGGAGGAGGATATTGTGGTAGTTAAGGTTACGTATTAACTTGCCTGGGCCTGGTTTTGAGTGCTTGGGCAGCTGGATGTAGTGTTCCCCATGATGAGACTGGTAATCAGCTCCATGGTGTAATCTACTGTGAGCAGCTAAGTAGCTGCCTTAGGGATGTGGTCTGCTCCCAGTATATAATGAGAAGCTTTAGGAATGGTCTGTAGTTTTTGGAAGGAGCTCTGGTAGTACAGTGACTAAGGCATCTGACTGCTAACCAGAAAGGAAGCAAGGTTGGGCGATCTACTTCTGTAAAGATTTGCCACATTGCAAACCCAGTGGGGTTCACTGTGAGTAGGAATTGACTCGATGGCACTGGGTTTGGAGTTTTGGTAGCTCTTGGCATGCTTGAATGCTGCATGTAGCCGAGTCATTATTCAGCAGCCTGCCATGTTGTCTGCTGATCCTGGGACTCTTAATGGACTTGAATCAGTGGCCTGCTATGTGGTTTGATAATACAGGACTGTGTCTTTTTACTTGGTGACTGTGTTAGACTGGGTTCTCTAGAGAAACAAAAACCAGTAAAGCTTATATATAGGTATATTTAGAGAGAAATTCGTCTTCGGAAAATGGCTCGCACACTTACAGAAGCTGGCAAGTCCAAAGTTCCTGGATCAGACGTCAAGCTGGAGGCTTTTCCTGGCTCTTGCAACCACAGAGGCTGAGGAGCTCAAGGCTGACAGGCAGTACACCAGCTGTTGACTCCAACGAATGACGAATCCAAGATCTCCAGACTGAATGGTGGACTGTTCACTCACGGACAGTTGTAGGCAGCACAACAGAATCCCGATCCACAGAAGAATGTCTCTCTTCCCAGGATGTCCTAGGATATACTGGAAGCAGGCCACACCCCTAGGGAAACTCCCCTTCAACAGATTGGCCACTCAGAACATAGTCATCTGATCCCATCATGGGAACAACCACACCACAGCAGCTCAAACCACACAGAATTGTGGTCCAGCCAAGTTGACACACAGCTCTAACTATCCCAGTGACCTTGAGTTTGTCAACCTCAGTAGCCAGAAGCTGCCTGAGTGAAGAAAGCCTCCAGTTTCAGTGGCCCAGGAGCAAGAGGCAAAGTGGAAGCCCAAGGTCGAGGGGCTTTCACCCAGCCCCTGGAGCCTGGCACTTTGAACTTGGACTTCTAGCCTCCCGAACTGTAAGAGAATAAACTCCTGTTTGTTACAGCCATCCCATTTGTGGTACTTTCTGTTACAGCAGCACAAAGTAACCAAGATAATTGCCATGCTTGGTAAAGTAGAGGGTCAAAGAAATAGAGGAAGACCCTCAACGAAATTAATTGACACAGTGACCGCAACAGTGGGCTCAAATACAGCAACAATTGTGAGGGTGGTGTAGGAGCAGGCAGTGTTTCCTTCTTTTCTGCATAGGGCGGCTATGAGTCAGAACTGACTCCAGTAGCACCTAACAACAGTAACAAGGGCCCTGCCAATGGCAGATAAGTCAGTGTGGAAGAAGTACTGGAGTTAGAAAATTACCATTTTACGGTCAACATAGTAAAGATAGATTTGGCAAGAAAAGGATGCTAACTCTAGGGGATAATTTTGATGAGGAAAAGGATTAATTACAAAGGATAAGAAAAAAATACAGTAATTACATGTTGGAAAAAGTACCTTGACTGAATGATCAGAATGAACATCACCGATGAGGCACAGGTAGACATAGAGTATACCTCCAGATACGATATTCTGAGAAGGTCATAACATCATGTATGCAGTATTCCTGACAAGAGTGGCTAGCCTCAAGCTAATCAGATTGAGGGGTGTTCTATTTAAAAATGTGGGAAGATGGTATTTTTAATGTCAATATTATAGAAGACAAAGGCTGTGTAAACTTTCCAGATTGAGTCTCAAGAGACATGACAAATAAATGAAACTTTACCCCTAAACTGGATCCTAGTACTAAAGGGAAAAGACAATATAAATAAACTGACAATATTGGAATATAGATGGCAGGTAGATAAAAATATTGTATCAACTTAAGTTTACGTTGATAATAGTACTATACTTATGTAAGTACATATATAATAGTGTATTCCCATTCTTAGGAAATAAATACTAGTGTATGTGGGGATAAAGCATCATGATGATGTATGCAACTTACTCTGAACTGATTCAGGAAAAAAATGTAGGGGTGTGTGTGAGAGAGAGAGAGAGAGAGAAAGATAGCGGTTGGGGAAGGACTACAAATGATGAACCAAATGAGATAGATAAAACTTTAACAACAGGTGGATCTTGGTAAAGGTGATTTGGGTACCATTTTGATTTTTATAATTTATCATGAATTTTCAGTTCTTGCCAAATGAAAGTTTACAAAATAATATATCAAAATTTTCTGTTTAATTCCTGAACTCTGGATTTCAAGAGAAGATGCTTTCATTTTGACTTGGTAATTCCACTT